CAGACTGGCGCCCAGAAACTTCCTTCCTTCCAGCCTCGGCATCCAGAGGGAGGCTCCTGAGGCAGAGGGAGGCTGATGGCCGCCCTCCTGCCTGCCTCCTCAGCCACCTTCTCCTGGAAGCCCCCCGCCACGGGGTCAGAGTCGGCCACACAGGCCCACTACTTGTCGGAGCAGGAAGGGGAGCTCCCGGGAGCACCGGGGCTCAGGGGCAAAGGGCCCCCCACTGCCGGAGCCTCCCTCCCCAGGAACGACAACCTGGGGTCGTGGTGCCCCGAGCGCTGAGCCGCACACCCCTGGGACCAGCCTGCAGCCCATCTAGGTGGGATCCCTCGGGCCTCACATCCATCCGGGAAGAAGGAAGAGCTCGGCAGTATGGACCCACACCCGGCTCAGGAACCCGGGGGCTTAGCCGGGCAGCCCTGGGGCCCCAGAGGCAGTTCCCTCCAAGTTCCAAAATCCACGCAGATCACTCTGGGAGGCGCCTGCCCGTGCAGCTGACGATGGCGGAGCACCTCCCTTCCCAGAGCCCATACCCAGCAGGCGATCGGTAAATGCATGCTCCGGCTCAGAAACCGCACAGCAGTGGGCATGTGTCCATGCCCAAACGGCAGTAACAGGAATGCATTTCGGCCGAAATGAAAATGGATGGTGGCTTTTCATTTATTTATGTGCTTCTTTAACAAATTTAGCCTCCTGCCCCCGGTCCTGAGCCAGAACACGTTGCAGTCTCCCATTCTTCATCCCTCCGCCATCTCCTCCCAGGAACACTTGTACTCTTCAATACTTAATAACTGAAGGAAGCCGCCATAAACCTGGGCTATTTCCTCCTCTCCGAGAAGAATAACAAAAGCTCTCTCTGCTTTTGGAGAGAGAGCAGTACAGATAATTGAATGGAACTTTAACACAGACCCCTCAGATGCTTTACGAATGGCGGGGGGCCAGGCTCTGCGTGGTGGAACGTCCACAGCCACCCGCCCACTTGGGGCTGAGTCAGGAGCCAGAAGCCTGGGGCCAGCTCCAAGCAAAGCTCCCCGCCACCACCGCCCCCTGCAGACCCACGCCAGGGTGGCCTGCCCAGCACACAGGTGCAGGCGCAGAGGCACCAAGAAACACCTCTGTGGGTCCACAGGGCGCCGACATCCTTTCTTCCACGCTGTGCTCCCTGGGTACCAGGACGGAAGAGACAGCAGGCACGGACAGGCTCTGCGCAGACTCAGCTCTGACCGGGTTTCCCTGTGACACCTCCCTCCGAGCACCGAGCTCCGATCAGGGCCTCACGTTAGATGCTCAGGGCAGAGGAAGAAGCGCAGCCCACGCACTCCAGACCTCCTGCTGAGAACCACCTGTAGCTACGTGAGAGGCTGGAGGGATGCAGTTGCCACCTGTAAGCACGTAACAAGGAGCAGGGAGCAGGCGGGTTACCCAGCCACAGCCACAGGGCCGACCCGCGTGGGACACGGAAGAGCGCTGAGAACCATCTGGAGGGACCTCCAGCATGTGACCTCAGTGTGGAGAAAGTGAAAACACGCCAACATTTATCTAAGGGGGGGTTTGTTGCTGTTTCGTCACTAAGTCGTGTACAGCTCTTTGTGACCCCATGGACTGCAGCCTGTCACGCTCCTCTGTCCACGGGATTCTCCAGGCAAGAGTACTGGAGTGGGTTACCATTTCCTTCTGCAGGGGATCTTACCGACCCAGGGACCGAACCTGTGTCTGCTGCTTGGCAGGCAGACTGTTTACCGCTGAGCCACCTGGGAAGCCCATCTAAGGGGCACAAGTACGGACAAGTTTGCTTTTATAAAAATCCGATGGAAGGATGAACTGTACAGTTAGAAGATGACTGGTTATCTGCCCAGGAAGAGAGGGACTGAGGGGCCCTGGGAGAGACAACTGACGTCTCTGACCACACCCTGACTCTGGAAACATGGAAAGAGTTCAGACAACCGCAGCAGTGGATCTAATTCTAGAATGAACTAGGCAGTGTGCGTGTGGGGACAAAATGACATCCCAGACCTCCCGGTCAGATGTGCTGAGAACACTCTGACCTCAGCTTCATCCTGAGGAAACACCAGACAAACCCAGCCCGTGGTGGGGCATCTGAGCACCAGGGAGACGGTACCACAGCGATCAAGACTCGTGACTATGTTTGTAAGTCCCCGATCTCATGAGGACACCAAAACCCCAGGCAAAAGCCCAAGATGCTCTCAGTAGAGAATCAACTCGCTGCTTTGAAAGCTGGAATGTCAAGCATATCTCCTGCCTCTCCATACGAACTATGACTCGGGGCAACCAAAGAGTTAAGTTTCCAGCAACATGTTGGTTAACATATGAAGAAAGAAATGTCGGAAGTCGAGAATTACCATCTGCAACCTCTAATGAGATGATACACGGAAGCCATAATGACAACCGGGTCATGATGCAGAAGAGAAACGGCCTCAGGGAAGCACACGCCATCCACCACCCCCACCGAGGAGGGGCCTTCCGCAAGATCACCCCCTATCCCACCACCACCAAGGGACAGAAAACACGCCGGCTCACATGTTGGGACCGTGGGGATGCCCTGAGCAAGGTCCAGGGTGGGCAACATCCACCCACCAACCACAACTTACAGACCCTGTTTGTGATTTCAGAGACTTGCCCTAAAAATGACCAGATAACTGGGGAAGTTTGAGCCTCAGTTGGTATCTGATGTTATTCAAGAAAATCTTGATTTTTTAGTTTACTAGACAGTGCTTAGTAACTCAGTCATGTCCAACTCTTTGCGACCCCATGGACTGTAGCCCACTAGGCTCCTCTGTCCATGGGGATTTGCCAGGCAAGAATACTGGAGTGGGTTGCCATGCCCTCCTCCAGGGGACCTTCCCAACCCAGGGGTCAAACCCAGGACCCCACACTGCAGGCGGATTCTTTAGTGTCTGCACCACCAGGGAAGCTCTAACTTGTTTGAAAACGTAATCAGGGTTTTCCCTGGCAGTCCAGTTAGGACTCTGCACACCCACTGCAAGGGGCGCGGGTTTGATCCCTGGATGGGAACGAGATCCGGCACGCCGCGCCCCGCAACCGCTGACGCCCTGTGCTCCAGAGCCTGTGCTCCAAACCAAGACGCCACTGCAGCAAGACCCCCACGCAGCGCAGCTAGAGAGAGGCCCCCGCTCCCCACAACTCGAGAAAGCCCACGCGTAGCAGCAAGTACCCAGTGCAGACAATTACTTTTAAAAACGCCCACCGTCGTTACCCCAGGCCACCAAAGGGGAGCTCTGCACTGCTGTGACATGAGCTGCCCGGCATTCCACTCTGCTGATAAAACACTCAGGACGGAGCGCAAGGACGGGCCCGGGCAACGCCGACCTGGGGCCAGGCGGCCTCTTCTCTCCTCTGCTCTTCAGCCCCACACGGGCCTCCCTGGGGTCACAGCCGTCCTGCCCCTCCTCCACCCTGCCTGGTAACCCCATCTCCGGGAGGCCTCCCGCCGCCCCTCCCCAGCAGGGGTGGGGGCTCCCTGTCGGACGCTCACAGACCCTTCCCTGCCCGAGAGCACCGGGCCCGGCTGGTTCCTCCGCTGGACCCACGAAAGGCAACTGCAGGAAGCATCGCCCACGGGCGCTCCCCGGGCCGCCCAGCACGGCCACCACACGGCAGGCCCGCTCCGCTCTGCAGAGGCGGCCTGGCTGCCCCTCCGTCTGTGTGGCCGCCCCGGGGGAGCTCAGCAGGGACCGCGGTCACAGGGATAAGACCGCACGAGGCGGGCCCCTCTCGGTCCACAGCACCTGCGGGCCCCGCCTGGCCCCATCTCCCCGGCCCCTCCTTCAGGACTCCCGGGGAGACCGAGTGCTCAGACCCAGGGCTCAGACCCTGCGGGCGGGCGAGCACAGGCCGGCAGGGTGCAGGTGGGCACACACACGGAGTCCAGGCCCTGTACACACGTGTGTGCACACACATGCATGCCCAGGGAGGCACCGACCAGGAAGAGGGGCCTGGGGGAAGACGGGGCGGGGGCACCTGGGCGGCGGGACAGTGCCCGGAGAGGCAGTGAGGGCCATGTGGCCCACCTCCCGGGAGAAGGCGGGCCCAGCCCCCACCAGGCTTCCCACCAGGGCGTGTGCCAGCCAGCGGTCCCACACACTGCATGGGCACCCGTGGCTGGAGCTCAGACCATGCTGAGCTCACACACGAGGGAGACACAGGGAGAGAACACGCGTGGGGACAGAAGGTGAGGGCACCCCCTGCCTGGTCCCACCCGTCAGCGGGGGACCCCGGCCGGGCGGGACCCCGGGAGGAGGGAGGCGCCTTGCCCTGCACCCTCCCTCCGGGGCCCAGGCAGCTCCGCCCGTGGCTCAGACATGACTAGCTCTAGGCACACGGGCCAAGCTGATTCTCTCACCCTCTGTGGTTCTCCCCCTAGAAGCATCAGCCCCACACCGGTGTCAACCGTGAAAACAGCCTGCCACGTGCGTGGGCTTCACGGTGAGTCTGCCTGGATTACCCTCCTTACTAGTCAGAGGGCTTAAGCCACCAGCAGGGCCACTTTTCTCAGCTCTGGAGCCTCTGTTCCCTGGTCTGTAAAGGAGGAGGACAGAGGGGTGGAGAGGGGACCAGACACAACACATCACAGGGGGTCAGCTCTGCAAGGAGGCCCTTCCGGAACCACCTTACTGTCATCACTACCCAGAAGCCAACACCCCGGACACCCAGGCCCACCTGCTCCTCGGTGAGCAGGAAATTTCAGATCCCCTCCAAAATCTCTGCTGGATTTTGATTAACCACAACAGTGCACCAGACTCTGAAATGCTGAGAATTTCTGGGGACATGTTACTCCTTCCTCGTGTCTGTCTCAGAAAGTAAAGACACCGCGGCCGTGCAGACGGGATGCAGACTCGGGAGGCGAGGGCCACGCCTGCCCCCACCGCTAGCCTGGCAGCCCCCACCGTGACCCCTGTGTGACCCGGCTGCACCCCTGCAAGACTGTCCTCTCTGCCCCCCACCCCTCCACCGGTACTCACGTAAAAAGTGTTTTTCCAATAAGGCGATTTCCAGGTGGCCTTTGATCTCATTCAAGCGGTCGAACTCTGTCCGGTTGAAGTCCTGGACCCCTGCAGCCATGATGAGGGTCCCTGGACCAGCCTAGAAGGAAAACACCAGGAAGGAGCTCAGAGGCGCCTGGAAGCACCCTGGGTCCACGTCACCTGGTTCTCTCAGCACCTGGTACCTCGGGGTACCCCGAGGACCCCGCAGTCTGGAAAGGCCGGCTCCCAGAGCTCCCCTGGCCTAGGAAGGCACCGGCCCGGCATTAGGACCTGCTTCAGTCCACCTCGGTTTCATCTGCCGGGAAAGGGACATCTCGGGCAAAGCAGACATCCTCGGAGCCCCGGCGAGACCAACGTCCAGAAATGACAAAGTAAGACCACAAGCATGACGCTGAGCCTCCGGATGGGCCACAGCACAGCTCTCAGACCACAGAGGGAAGGAGCTTGGGGAGACCTGCCCCAGTCTGTGTGCTGACTTCCCAGGAGAGCGGCCTGGCCACAGGGCCTGGTGTCCTGCCCGGGGAGCCCGGCTGGCACCCAGGGAGCCGCAGCAACAGGACTCCATGGAGGGTGCGTCCATGTGCCGGCTTCCGGGGGAGCCAATTCCAAACAGGGCCCTGTCCTGGTCCATGGTGGCTAATTAAAGCCACCCCCCACTGTCCCGCCTGGCTCAGGGCAGGCCCGGCTACAGGCCGCCGCTGCCTGCTGACGTGGGGCGCATGTATCGGCACGGCCAGGCCATGTCCTGGAAACTCCCCTGGTCACCCCACAACTGCACCCAGCCACGTAACAGGGCCATCTGACTCCGGGTCCCTCCCAAACTGGGGTAAGGAAGGAAGGGGACACTCAGCCTGGACAGGGTCCGTGACCGGCTCCCGCACGTCGTTGTCTCGTCCGGGGCCACAGCCCTGGAGGGGGAAGTGGACACTAAGACTCTGGCCTGGGGCTGCCCTGTCCGGGCCCCGGACCTGCTGGACCGTCAGCTGCTCTGGCTACCGCAGCAAGGAACTCCCAGATGGCAGGGACAGGCCGGGTTTATCTGCCTGCCTGTGGGCCTGGCAGGGGCGGGCACAGGAGGGCTGGGCAACAGGCGAAAGACAGGGTGCCCCCCCCGGCCTGCTCGCCCACTCGCCTCGCAGACGACGGTGCCCCTCCTCCCCTGCCCAGCCCCGGCCTCGGGGGACAAGGTGGTGGCCCCAGGGCAGAGAGCAGAGGCCGGCCAGGGAAGGTGACCCAACAGGGATCCATCTCGTCAGCAACGTCCCCACCCAGGTGGGCAGGGTGGCTCGTGGCTCATGGCCCCGAGTGACAACCCGTGAGCCCACGTCCTTGGAAGGCTGAAATGCAGGTTGGTCTCCAAGCAGCTGGAACTAAGCCCGTTTGGAACTTGTCCCGGAGCTTTCAGCTCCCTTCCAGGGGCCCTGGGTCTGATAGAGGCTGGGATCACATGGCTGTGGCCGGCTCGGAGCCGAGGCCCCGCAGGGGACGGCAGAGGTCACGGGGCATGTCCGCGGTAGACGCTGGTCACTTCCACCAGGACGACACACAACCTGCCCGCACGGCAGCGGTGGTGCAGGCCACGTGGGCACGAGGCTTGCGGCAGTGACCCAGCGTCCCGGGGCAGAGGTGACAAGAAGGACAGCGTGACCCGCTGTAGGATGCTGGCCTGTCCCCCCCCAAGGAGAGAGAGACAGAGAAAGCCCCTCGGGACTGGGGATGCGGGCTGGAGAGTCATTCATACTCACAGCCCTGGGCTCGCCCCGCCCTGGGCCCTCACCGGCCAGCTGGTCCCACCCCCACAGGAGGCGCCCCCTTCCCAGGACAGGCCTGTGACCCCCACAGCGTCCCACCCAGCAGATGCTGCCAGCCTCCAGAAGACACAGCAGTGAGGTCCCAGCCCACCCCGACCCGGGGTCGGGAGGTCAGCCGCCCGCTCTGCGGGGGACAGAGGCCGTGCCCAGGCAGTGCTCCGCAGCTCCAGCCCGCCTGATCGGATGCCGGCTCTTAAGAGGCAGTGCCGATAAATTATTCACTGCCGCCAGAAGCGAGCGAGCCCATCCCTGTTCTATTACGAAGCATTAATAATACACAGGGCCAGGCGGGCAGGCGCTCACGGCCACACCTGCAAGGAAAGCCTAGCTCAGGTGCTCAGGCAGGAACCGCAAGGCCACCAACCCCGTGGTCCACGTGGGCGCGGCTGTCCACAGCTGGTGGGGCAGGGGGACTCCGGGCTTCTTCGCTGACGACAGGGAGATGAGGGCAACTGTCCCCACAGCGGGGAGCCAGCTGTCACCCCTGGCCGGGAGGGGACCCAGGCAGCCTGCCCCACCAGCTGCCCGCCCACTGACCAAACACAAGCTTCCAAAAGGCAGGGCCTGCTCACACCAGAGCCACCGAGCCCCTGAAGAGATCTGCTGGCCAAGGGAAGGGTGTCCACAACCGGCCCACAGGGGCCACTGTCCCCACCTGGGCTCCCGAGGCCCAGCCTAGGCTTGGCCAGCTGCCAGGGCAGTGACACGCACCCTGTGATGGCCAGGCAGTCCAGCCAGGTGCCCAAAGGTGCTGCCCTCGGGCTAGGCCAGCGGCTTCCAGACATCGCCCGGCGACCCCTGCATCAAATTCCCGGGGGTCAGGCTGGGGCCCTGGCATCACTTCTGCATGAAAAATTTGCCGATCACCCAAAAATCCAAGGAAGGAAGAAACCCTGCTGCCAGACAAACTACCCTCAATCTGGGCATGAGCCCCCGCCAGGAAGGTTGGAGGGGGAGAGATGGGGAGCAGCCTCCTCTGTGTCTCACTGGCCAGGAAGGACACAGTCCACCCAAGGCCACGCTGGGTTTGGCACCCGTGGATGGGGACAGTGAGGGGCCCCGAGACATGGGCCACTCAGCCGGGGACGGGGCGGGGGGACACTCTGGTACTCACAGGGTCCCTGAGCTCCTCGCTGTCCCGGGGTGAGGTCCGAGGGATCTTCAGGGGAATCTCGTCTCCGCATTCGGTGTCCGAGGCGTTCGGAGACTCGGCTAGATCGAGGAAGTCATCTCTCTTGTGACCTCTGAACCTGATTTTGTCCAGCTTCCTTAGCATGTTCAGCACTGAGGCCCTCTGCTTCACCTTAACATGACGCTCGGAGTCCCTGCAGGACAGCAAGCGGGGGGCAAGGTCCCGTGGTCAGTCACCTGCTGGCCGCCTGCCAGCACACCATCCCCTACAGACAGCTCCAGGCCACAGCCCAGGGCCGCCACCCGGCCCTGCCCTCAGGGAGCAGCCAGTCCTGCTACTCAGGGACCCTGGGGCACACAGGCTTCCCCCCTGCCAGAGAGGCTAGGGCCTCGGTCACCCCCACCCAGCTGGGCTGGTAACTGGGCTCGGGCCCCTGTCGTCAGGCCAGCCTTCTGCACCCCTCAAGGGAGAAGGGAGCCCTGTTGCTCAGTGGGACTGCCAGCACCAAGAGGGGGCAGCCTGGAGCTGCAGGGGAGCCGCTGACCCCGTGGGGGTAGGGGGCACTGCGGTGAGAAGGGCGGAGGGCTGACCCTCCCGAGCTCCAAGAACCCGTCAGGAAGCACAGACACATGCCCACCCAGGACTCTGGGTGTCAGATTCCCTCTGGACCCCTGTCCCCTCCCTCCACCTGGCCCCGCTCCCAGGCACACGGCCAGGCTGCCCCATTGGCCCGAAACGCCGTCCTGCCCACCTGGGTGCCCTGACCCAGCTCTCGGGACCGGCTCAGCCTCACTGGGTCCCAGAGGTCTTCCCAGCACAGTGCCCAGGCTGCAGGCATGGGATCCCCTCAGCCAGGAGCGAGGGCGGCAAAGGCCGGGTGTGGCGTCATGCTGGGGGCGGGGGGAGCGATGTGCGCTGGTAGGGAGGAGATGTGTATGTCCAAGCGCGCATGCACACCAGGGGTGGATGTGCAGTGGGGCACCCACTCCCCACATCTCTGACCCACCCCCAGGAAAGCCTGGGGGTGGCTGTGGGCAGCCCTTCTGGATGTCCAGTCAACCTCATGCTGAAGTCCACGGCCCCAGCCCTGGTCACACAGCTCCCCGGCCCCCAGGGTCTGCAAGAGGCCCTGGTTCCCCACGGGACAGGGGCTCTGAACATGCCCAGGCTCAAGCCCTCCACTTCCCACCGTTCTGAGCCTCGGCTTCCTCCTCTGAAACAGAATGAACACCAATGGGAATGAGCACCAATCCGGCAAGAGGATCCCAAGAACTCGAGATGACGCCCGGGTGCCAACACTCAGCCTAGACCCAAGAAACAGAGCGGCGACCTCGCACAGGGTGGGGGGGAAGCAGGGAAGCAGGGCAGGACCTGCCTCAAGCCACCCAGCGGGGACAGTCCACGCGGAGCCACGGCGGCAGGGAAAGGCGCTCCTGTCTTGGACAGTGCGGGCTTCGGGCCGTTAGACCTCGGTAAAGCACCGCCCAGGATGCCCGGCTGCAGCCCTGCACGCCTGCCCCGCCCTCCAAGGGCCACCGCCCCTGGCATCATCTCTCCAAACAACACAGCCTGCGTGCAGTGGGCGCCCACGAGACCCGGGTCAGGACGAGCCGGGGCCGGCTCTGGTCTCCATGGACAGCTGAGGCCGTGCCCGTCGAGGGCGGGGCTGGAGGTGCTCCTGGGACAGGGGCTTCTCGGGCTCTCTGGAACCCTGAGCTGGCCCGATGTGGCCCCATCTGGCAGGATGGGGGCAGGAGGCCGGCCATCCAGTAAGCTATCCCGGGAAGGAGCTGTGAACTCCAGATGAACTAAAAGGTTAAGTAAACTTAAAAAAAAAAGAGAGAGAGAGACTTAAGTTTCTAAGGGGAGGGAGTGATGGTCTACATTAAGAGACTGGGGGGAAAAAAAAAATCAAAGTTCAAAAAAAAACTCAACCACACAAAAGTAAACTGACGTTTTGTTTAAAAAACGCAGTGAAACAGGAGACACATGGAGCAAATAGGGTGTGTGTGAACTCGTATCTCTGTTGTGAGACAACTTGCATGAATTGGTAAAGACTAGAGGACCTTGGTACACAGATGTGCAAACCAGCCCCCCACCACCCCGAGCAGAGGAGGAATCTCAGCAACAGGGGTCACCCGCTCCTCGTGCAGAAACCTCTAACTTCACCAAGAAGGAAAAGAAGCCAGCGATGTGACCAAGGCCGCAGGCAGCAGGGACACCAACGCCCTGGGAACCAGTGGGCCCCCGTCTGGAGATGCGTCCCAGGGCAGATCCGGCATGGGGAGCATGACTGGGCTGCACTGTGGCCAGCCGGGAGCTCGGGAGCCACGCGCAGGGCGCACGGACGTCCCCGGGAACCTCAGAGTGGTGACCAACGCCGCTGCCCTGAGGTCACCGCTACAGACAATGGGCGTCTGCACCCCCACAGGTGACAAGGGCCCCTGGGTGGAGCTCCTGGGAGGCTGCAAAACTCCTCTCCACATGCTCTTTCCGATTGCTTTTCTAACTTGAAAAATAAAAGCAAATGGGATGGGAAGCGCCTCCAGGTAAAACTTCCTTCCTTCCATTTTCAAAAAGACCCGGGGGACCCCTCCTCACCCAGCACAGGGCAGAAGTGGGGCAGACGGCAGGGGGGGGGGGCAGGGGTCCCCGCAGCCAAGCCTCCCTCCTTGCCATTCATCGGCGGTCCTGGGACTCCCAGCCCCGCAGGCCAGGGCTGCCTTCCCTCCGGACTCAGCAAGCAAATGAAGAGGCCACCAGGGAAGGGGACAGAGCACCGACGGTCCGCCCCGCCACCGTCAGGATGCTGCTCACAAGTGCCCAGCCCGCGCGCCCCCCACCCCGCCCAGCAGGGCCCCTCCTTGCCTCGCCAGCTCATCTCAACATCTGCCCTTGGGGAGGGCAGGGGTGTCCCCACCGCCCTGCCCCCAGGCCCCTGGGCTCAGACAGCTGCCGGACCAAGACCAGGTGCCAGGACACCTGACCACTGCCCCGCCCCCCACTGCCAGGCGGGTCTGGGCTGGGAGGGGCACTTTGCCGTCACCCACACCCCCAAGGCTGAGAGGTAGCCCACCCCACCCCAGGACCATCTCAACTACACCGGCTGACCCAGCCCTCCCCAGCTTTTGAGATGACGATGGGAGACTGGCACGGCCGTGGTCCACGGCCAACGAGAGGGGCGCCGGGGCCAGCCAGGCACGAACCACGACCCAGAGCAAAGCTTCCCCGCAAAACCTCCCCGCAAAGCCAGTGTCACAGACGCCGTCTCGCAAACCACCCCGCTCTTTCCGTCTGGGTGCGGCCACATGTCCCGCCCTGCCCCAGCCCCCACCCAGGCTCCCCTTTATGCACCAGCCCCTGTTCCCTGCACACCCACCCCGCACTCGCCAGGGCCCACGGGGAAGAAGCCTGCATCCACAGATCAGCTCGTCCTGTGAACCCACAGGCCCCGGCCAGCTCCCCGCACGCCCAGCCTTCTAGGCACAGCCACCCTCAGAGTGGGACGTGGCGCCCTGGCCCCCGAGGCTCCTGGAGGGGCCCCCTTGTACCTCCATGCAGAAGCAGACACTCCGAGCGGTGACACCTGCCAGGCCCTGCGGCCGTGGAGGCGGGACGGGGCAACAGGACAGGGGGTGCCCGGCGCAGGGGCCCGTCCACCGCCCCCGCTCGGGGCGGCACCCACTGCGCTGCAGGGCCTCGGGACGCCGGAGCGAAGCCAGTGCCGGCCCCGGGACACAAAGCACGCTGCTCTGGAAACGCGCTGAATGGCTCCTGGACACACAAAGGCCGCACTGTCTGGGGAACACTGGGCTTGGAAGCCACAAAAGATGTTAGTTCCCCCACCAGCCTGAGACTCAGAAAAAAGTGGTTCCCAGCCTGGCGTGCACCACGTCCCAGGTCCCAGTCGTGCTCCTCGCCACCCCGGCCGCCCTCAGACAGCCGGCTCGGCCCGGGGCCTGGCGTCATCCTCCCGTCATCTGGCAGCTCTTCCGCTGACCCCAGGATAAACAACGTCTGTTTCCCCAAATGAAGCAATCCTCGTCCTAAACTGTATTCCGGGGAGTCACAGAGGTCGAGCGAGGCCAGCCCCAGCCAGGTCTCCGTCCTCCAGGAAGGCGCCCAGAGGCCCACAGCCCTGCAAGACGTGCCCCCAGGACCCCAACCTGCACGCAGCTCCAGCCAGCGGGGGGCCCCATGCTGGGCGATCCGCGGAGCAGTCTGGATGCCCGCGATCCAGGAGGCACAGTGACCACGCCCGCCCCACTGCCCATGCGGAGCTTGACTCTGGCTCCCACCGAGGGCCAGCGGGCTCCCCCGACCTCGAGGCTGGTAGGGCAGCCACCCCCCTCACCCAGATGGACGCCTCAGTGGGCGGGACCCTGAACACTCAGATGCTCAACTGACTCACTGCCCACCAGCCTCCCGAGCCTGGACTCTGGCTGCTGACCTACTGTGTGAGGACGCTCATCAGTAGCGGGAGCCTCCGTGGACCTCCCCCCATGACACCTGAACACCAGCCACTCAAGTCAAACCCAGAAGGAGCCCCCGACCACGTGACCATGGCCACCTACAGTGAGCCCAGCCCCCCCAAGCCAGGGCTCCCCACCTCTAAGCCAGGAACCACCCCCCCTCCAAGCTGGGGGGGGCCATTTCTAAGCCAGGGCTCCCCACCTCCAAGCCAGGGGCCCCCATCTCCAAGTCAGGGGCCCCTACCTCCAAGTCAGGGCCCCCCAAGCTGGGGGCCCATCTCCAAGCCAGGGCCCCCCACTTCCAAGCCAGGGGCCCCCATCTTCAAGCCGGGGACGCCCAACTCCAAGCCAGAGGCCCCCCCAAGTTGGGAGCCCATCTCCAAGCCAGGGACCTCCACCTCCAAGCCAGGCCCCACAGCCGTGCCCCCCCCCACCTCTGAGCCGGGTCTGGCCCACACACCTCACAGTCTGCAGCAACCCGCTGAGACCCCTCCTGGGGCTCTGCCTGCTCCCCGACACTGGGCTCCAGCCCTGCTGACCCCTCGGGGGTCCTCTCGCCACCACACTGGTTACCGCGGGGCCCAGCACTTCCCGGTCTGGGGCATCCCCATAGTGGCTCCTTCTGCTCCAAGTATATCCTCCCACTCCAAACTCCAACTGCCAGTCTGGTCTAGAGTCCAGGCTAGCTCCCTGGTTTAGGATTTGTCCCCCAGCCCAGAGG